TTTTGCATGTCAATTCCAGATGCTTTTCAGCTTCTAAATGAAAATAATATTTTTTTTATTGAAAGCGCAAAGAATGAAATGAGAAAGGAAGGAAACTTTTTTTTTGAGATGAGATATAGAGAAGAAGGCACATCATGAGATGTCGAACAGAACACCAGTTGATGTTAAAATCGTGCATTTGAAAATTTCTTCGGGGGACTTTAGACTTCTCTTTTTTTTACAGGAATGGTATATAATTAATCTTAATTCATTCTCTATATCGTAAAGTATAAAAAAATTATCTCAACATTGATACTTTCTGTCTCTCTATCTCTCTCATCCTTCTGCTGCTGTTCCTTCTCATGTTATTTTATGTACTGCATATTCTGGTATTGTCTCGAAGGGATAATCTTACCGATAAGTTATAATTTTTTTGTGCTTATATTCAAGTGATCGAGTTTGGGAGATTGATAAGAAATGGAAATGTCGGGATATTGGGGCGCATTTATGAGATTTGCTTCAATGCTGTACATTCTTTGCATCAGTTTCACTTTATTCTTTGCTTTAATTCTCCAACATTATTTGCTTCAGTTTAGCATCATTCTTTGCTTCAATTCTGCATCATTATTTGCTTCAGTTTAGCATCATTCATTGCTTCAATTCTGCATCAATTTCACCTTATTCTTTGCTTTAATTCTCCAACATTATTTGCTTCAGTTTAGCATCATTCTTTGCTTCAATTCTGCATCATTATTTGCTTCAGTTTAGCATCATTGTTTGCTTCAATTGTGCATCATTATTTGCTTCAGTTTAGCATCATTCATTGCTTCAATTTTGCAGCATTATTTGCTCCAGTTTAGCATCATTCTTTGCTTCAATTCTCCATCATTATTTGCTTCAGTTTCACTTTATTCTTTGCTTCAATTCTGCATCATTATTTGGTTCAGTTTAGCGTCATTCTTTGCTTCAATTCTGCATCATTCTTAGCAACAGTTTCACATAATTTCTTGATTACCTAGTAAATCTATTAAGCACACTAGGCATAACTGTATTCATGTTTCTCAAATCTCAACATAGCGAAATTCAATCTTTCTAAATTCTTCCGCAATTTCTCTTAATTCAGTCAGTAGACCATGAAAGTTTCTGCCTCCAAGATTACCAACTAAAAAGCCATCAACTATCCAGCAGAACCTCAATTCTATTTCCCACTTATAAAGACCGCTCTAAGACAACATACATTCAAATCAATTACAGCAAGATTTACACATAACAAAGTATATTTCAGAGTCAGACAGATAAAAAGCAACACAAACAACTGCAATAGCTGGAAGGTTTAAAAAAATGTAGGAACAAGAAAAAAGCGAAAGACAAGAGCAAAAATGCAGAATTATGATGATGAATCAATACTATAATGTAGTATGTCTTCTGTTCTACATCTCTGTCTCTCTCATACTATTTATGTCCGTTGCCTGCCTTTAATCTTCTGTTCTGTTACAGATTCTTTCGCTTCATGTTTTTATTATCCCTTACTTCAAAACACAGAAAAGCTGCATACATTTTTAATGTTTTTAATTGAAATAGCTTCAGGGTGACGATGTATGCAATAACAATTGCAGTCTTGTAAGCCATAACAATGCCAAAAAATATTGTTTTATGTGTACGAGTAGGAAGAAGATAACAAAAAGTGTAATTTTTTTTGCATCTTCATCATAATTTGCTTATCGTGATCTCTCGTCAGAACTTTATTTTTGTGTTTTGAGGCACACATCAAAATTTCATGAAATCAAAAATATTGAGTAGATTGGTTTGAGGGAGATGATTCGGGATCAATGAACTAGAGTCGTAGTCTTAGAGTCTGAATTAAATGAAGAAGAATCGAAAATGATGCGAAATGTGAAGCAGAAATGATGCAAAAATTGATGAAGAAGTGAAGCAAAAAATAAATCAGAAGTGATGCAGAAAAGTTGAAAGAGAAGTGATGCAGAAAAGTTGAAAGAGAAGTGATGCAGAAAAGTTGAAAGAGAAGTGATGCCGAAAAGTTGAAAGAGAAGTGATGCAGAGAAATGATGCAATAATTGAAGCAAAAAATGATGCGAAAAGATCAAAAATGAAGCAAATCTAAATTTAAGACAAATATTATTAGAAATCCAATAAAACTTAAAAATAAGACAGCCTAAAACCCACATCATTTTCCAACTTATCTCCAACAAAAATTGCACCTTTGCAAATTTAATCAAATCATCGTCGTTAATGAATGAAGAAGACTCAAAAAACACAGATTTTTTTTTTCATGTTCAAAATGCTGATTTTATACAAAACTAAACCTCCGAGAAAAATATTGAATTATGGGGTTGCTGTGCATAATTTCATTATGATAACATCGACAATCGACATTTTTTTCAACATTTTCGATTGCATGATTGACGTTAAGGATTTTCTTTCCAGCAATATTTTGCATTTTTTAAAGACAATGAGGGGTAAAAATGTTCAATTTATCGGATTGAGTTTAGTGACTGTGAAGAGCAAATAGTTTTCAGGTTATGTTGATGAAGAGTGTATTGATTTTTTGGTAATAAGGGGTCAATGGATGGTACTTGATAGAATAAAAACCTCAGATATTTATGAGTTTGTAAGGAAGTCCTTAGTTCGATCAGTAAATTGTCCGATGAAGCCTTCAAACTTCTATGGGTCATTCAACTCGTCGTTAGAGATGCGATGGAGTTTTCGGTTGGGACAACAAATCTACATCATCTCTAAAAGAGCCTTAATAAAATTTTGGACCATTGGTGGACCTCATTTACGAATGATCCTTCAAATCTCCATCTATCCCCCTTATTTCATCTAAAAGTGAAGGAGTTTTCAATATTTTCAAGAGGAAATGAACCATTGACGGCAATTAAATTTATTTTCAATCTCAATATTTCCCTCCTTCCTTTCTTTTCTCACTGCCCGACCATTTTCACTTTCTATAGATTTTTTTTTTCGCCCTTCACAATCAATTTTTTAAATTCCAGTTGAATGACATTGAGTGCAGCGAGAAAAAAGAATTTTTTAATTCAATATTCAACTTGACTTTTTCAAGACTTTACACGAAGGAGCGACTGGCAGTGCTGATATAAATATATATATTTTTTATCCCATTCGTCAGTCTCACACTCATTAGACACATGAAGAAGTAATGCATCAAAATATAGAAAAAGAGAATTTTATTGAGATTGATTGCATTTCCGATTACGTGGCAGCTGATTGATCATTCTCACAAATTGAAATATAATCTCGTTGCCAAATGTCAGTTTAAAAAAATAAAATAAGAGTGAAATAATGCAGAAATTAGTCACATTAAATATAAAACAAATTTAAGTGATGAGAGAGTTAGAGAGGAAAGTGGTGAGGTTTATGGTGGAATTTGGTGGATGCGGCGCTTTTTTGACTCTATATCAGTGTTGTCCAAACTTTTAGAGCCACGGCACACCTTAGACGAAAGCCATGACCAAAGTCGTACACAAAGTCACGGCTCGTATCATTTTCAAAAATTTTCTCCGGCACATTAGTGTGCCGCGGCACACAGTTTGGACAACACTGCTCTATATTGACATGATAAACTATAAAGAGTCAATATTAGGAAATTTATATATGATCGACAAGAGAGACTATTAAGGATATAAATAAGAAACTAGATAAGATCGACATGGAGAACCCTATAAGGTCTTATTAGATACTATATAGGGTCGACATATAAGCTATTATGACGGTTGAAATAAAAGACAGTAAGGTTGAATGAGAGACTCTACTCTATCTACATGGGAGACCATATAGGTTCGATATGGAAGACCATATAAGTCGACATGGGAAGCATATAATAGCAAATAAATAATCTTAATTAATGCACAACTCGGTCTCTAATTTCTAATAAGCATATTTAACCTCAAACATGAACAAAACCCAAAACCTCTCTTAAAAATCCACAAAATATGTAAAACTATTTCTTAAACGACATCAAACCAACAATATACTAACTGCATTTCTACCCAATAATTTATTCATGAGCATATAACATGCAAAATATTTTTTCTTCACCTCTTTCTGCTCACAAAGCTAAGAAACGAACTCAAAAGACGATAAAGAACTGCTTACAGAATGAGTAATGCGAATTCAATTCACAGTTTTTTTGCGCCCTTACTTTATTTTATATTTTATCAGACAAACAAAATCTCTAAAGTGACTAATGCGCTTAACCATCTCTTACTCTTTCCCTCATTTCACTGAATAAGTGATGATGATGAAGAGAAGAAATCCTTTAAAATGAAAATTTTCTTAATGTATGTCAGTATATGTGTGGCAACTGGCAATGACTTGAATTCATTCGTACACATATATCGACCGTATGATCATCCAATTTAGTTGTCAAATGCAAACATTATACAGCAGAAACTCACTCGTTTTATTTTTACGGGATTTTAATCTGATTTTCTCATGAATCTCACATATAATAAAGCCGGCATTAAAAGAGAAGCTCCTACTTCTTCAATTTTATGCATTTTTAAGCGGAAAATGTGTTAATTAAGAATCGAAATGAAGAACAAGTTTGTGATAGGAATAGGGTATGGATATAATGTGAGATGGATGATGATGACTCATCTTTTTTTTTACATTCTTGAAGTCATTTGGTTAGTGAATTTTGTGGAAATTGGGTTAATGCAAAAGGATTTTTGGATGAGATATCTTTTGATTAATTGAGTTAGGTGTGTGATTTAGATTCGGTATGTAGAAGATGATATGAAGGTTGTGATAGATGGGGATTAAAAATATCTTTGCATTTGATTCGTGTCCGAGTAGCACATTATTGTCTACAGCAATCGTGAATTTATTGTTGGAATACTTAATCGTCAATTATACAGCAAAAAATTATCAGTTCTGGGAAGTACTTATAGATTAATACCAATAAAACAAAAATAAGTCCTCATTGATAAAGAAAATTGTATAAAATTGCGAAAAATGGAGTTCATTTATTCAGTTAAGATAAAGTATTCAAGTGAAAATCAGTGCAAAGTCGAAATGGATCGGAAAATTCTGTTTCTTGTTTTCATTATTTTGATGAATTTTCATACTGCCTGTTCTCAAATACTAGCTTGTGGATATAGAAATTACAGCACCTTTGGCTACACTTGTGATCTTCTTTTATATAATCCAACTGGTGCCTACAATTTTTCAAGGATTAGTGGAACACATTTGCCTGGAAAGACAAATGATGATGTTAGATTGGTTACCAAAACTTCCGATTCAAATTCAACAAACGTTCCGTCAATAATCTGTGACACTTTTAAAAATGCAATATGGATAGAACTTAACACAATGGGCATTGAATATTTTGATGAAAATACATTTCAAAATTGCAAGAAACTTGAATATTTGGATTTAAACTTTAATAAAATCACAAAAATTGATGAAAAATCGTTCAATGAAAATTTAGAACTCCGAGAATTACATCTATACAAAAGTCGATTGACAACATTACCAGAAAATATCTTTGCAAACCAGCACAAAATTATAACTTTAGATTTAAGGTTAAATCAAATTGCAGATCTACCGAGAAATATTTTTAAGACAATAAAACATGTATCAATACTTTACTTAAGTGACAACAAGCTCAAAGTTTTTCATGCATTTGGATTTTCTTCAAATTTAACTACGGTTCATCTTCAAAACAACCAAATTGAGGCATTTGATCAAAACTTTATTGACGATACAGGAGTTAATTTATTAGATATGACAAATAATTCTTGTGCAAATGTTAAAATAAATGACTCCTCACCTTCACGACTACAAATGAGAATGCTGCTAGTTAAATGCTTTGATAATTATTTGAATTTAGTCCAAGGTAAAATTTTAAAATTTGTCCCTTAATTCTTTATAAAACAATTTTTAATCTTCAACTAATTCACAGACACAACAACAACAATATCAGTCACAACTTCAACAACTGAAATAACTTTACCACCAGAATGTAGTGATGAAGATTTAGACGAAAGGGTCTGCAGACTTGAGATTGAGAATAAAGAATTGAAACTTAATTTAGAATCCCAATCCAAAGATTCGAAAGCTTTGGCTGCAGCACTTGATGAATTGGAGACAAGAATGACGGAAATGGAAAATCGACCTTGTTCATGTGTTTAATTGTTTGATTTGCTTTAATAAATGATTTAAATAAAATGTTATGCACTGGCTTAATTTATTTCAGAGACAAGTCAGTAAAATAGTCTTCCCCATTAGATTTTGCTACAAGCCATCCAAGTAAAATATAAAAAAAATCAGTAAAGGAATGAAGAACATGAAAAATTATTTTTTCGTGAATTTGACGTAAAATTGGCAAATGCATGTTGTTCCATACTGAAAAGTCGCTAATAGGGCTGTCAAAATGCAAAATTTTCATCTACTATGCAATCAAATGCATAGAAGCTTCTCAATTACTAAGCACCAAACAAAAATGCTATCGAACCTATTCCTTGCGTTTATCAGGACTAGATACAGATGTCATTCTCTGAATTAAACTATATTAAATCAGTTTTCAACCTGTTCTCCTCGAATCATCATCAAAAAAACTTCATCCATACTTGAACTTATCACAAAATCGCAACAGCATGACTCACTGCAAGTCAATAAGTTCAATGCTAATCAAAACCACTTAATTTATAGCTGATAAGACTTGCTCGGTAATAAAAAAATTGTAGTCAAATCGAAAACAAATCGTAAAATCCGTTGGAAAAAAATATAAAAATTGAAGAATACAAAAGCAGAGTCTAGATTGGGTGTGTTCATATCATGTTGAGATTTATTCAGTTTTTACTTACCTAACGCACTACCGAGCAGTGTAATAATGACTATAAATACAATATCCAATTTCATTTTATTGGTTTTTTTTGCTTCTTATTTCTTTCAAGTTCTCTTTGTTCTTTATTTCCTCGACTTTAGTCAGAAAATTATCATCACGTTTTTAGAAATCATCACATAAGGGCAATAAATTTCATTCTATAAAAATTCTCCATGCTTATCATGACGTCCATATGCCAAGGACATTCCTTTATCTTTATCACTTTCAGCGACATTATGTCCATGTCTATTTTTAGTTCAATTTAACGTTTAAATGATGCATTTCATGATTTCTTCTGTCCCATGTCCCTTATTCCTTTAAACTCTACACTGCACGCTTATTACACACAACAAATGTTTCACTCAAAATATCATGAATCACATTATTAACAGAGAAAAAAAAAAGGTTCAAGGATCTCCAAATGGAATAAGTTTTTTTAATGCCTTTTCTGTTCTTCTTGCTGTTATTCTTGTTTATCTTACGACAATTTTCTAGTTCTATTTTAAGCTGGTATTGTTGTACGGCTGTTAAAGATATGAAATTATTTTGTTGGATATATATCTGGAAATAGAAGAGAAAATGTTGGGTTGATTTAATTAATTTGATTAATGAAGGAAGCATTTAAGAGTTTTTTGAGCAGAAATAAAGGCTTTAAAATTGAGAGGGAATGAGAATGGAAAGGATTTCAAGGTGAAATGTTGATAATTTGAATATTTTAAAATTCATGAACGAAACTGATTGTTTTTGGTATTATTTGCATATTAAGTTGTATGGCAAATTTTGTTATAATTACTAGAATCTATATAAAATAGAAAGGAATCTGTATAATCTTAAAGTGGACGCCCATGAATGATTTGAAGTCTGGTATGCCCTAATTATAGCTTAGTCATACTCTGAAATCTTAATCCGATCGGCACACATTGAAATGTTTGCAACCCGGCAACCCGGTTGATAGTATAATTAGAACCAAGTGACAGCCGCTTTTAAGCAACTTTCAACTAGGTGTCAAGTAGTTGCCGTAAATCGCAAAATATAGTATAAAATTTCGTTACTTGCTCAAGGTGCTCCAGGTAACTCAATACACAGACCCTTGTTCTAGATATGCTCTAAATTTTCCCTCAGTTCCAAACATACTAAATAGAGATATGTTATAAGACTAGGTCTGCTTGTTCATTTAAAAAAATTCATAACAACATGAATTAAACAAAAATCTTCAAAAACTTTATTTTCAAATTATTACTCGTCACTACAACCAGTTCCAGCCATGATACAGATCACATTTTGATTGGATGTTCAACAAACTTAAATTAATGAGAATCTTAAAATTCTTCAGTCGAAATTTGTCAAATAAAATTCCATCCTTAATCCAATAACTCACAACAATCTCAAGGACAATATCAGTCCACCTCAAACAAACATTTTTCATTCCTTTCCAAATAAAGAAAAAACTTTTTTTTATCACCAATAGAAATCATCTGCTTCCCCGCACAGACGAAAGAAATTGAAAGAATTTTTAAGATACCCGGAATGCTAAATAAAATTAATAGTTTTATTGGTTTTAAACACGAGACAGCTGGAAATCTATTAATTTTCATATCTGCATTTTTATGGTCCCTCGAAAAAAAAAACACACGAAATAGAGAAAAGGAAGAACAAGAAGAATAAGAACGTGTGTGCTTCTCGACAGTTAAAAAAATATAAATGAAGAAATAAATAAATTTCACAACTTTGGTGTTCCTCATGTGAGTAAAGCAAGTTCGGACTGTCGGTGAATGTAAGTGAGAATAAGACATGGAAAAAAATAATTTATTAGAAAGGTATATAGCTTATATCTACATCATACACCCATATTAGACAATATATTGCTGTCTATCCTTTATTAATATTTTTTCATTCATCTTCATCCATATATGCAGTATTAATAGAATGTTTTTGAATGTGCTGTGGATAGTGGTTCTCGATGAGATAGTTTTTAGATAGGAATTAACATAATTGATGGAGTTTTTGGAATTAGTTTTGTTTTAATAAAAATAAAGATTGAGATTTAGATGAAGTTGAGTCTGAAATTGCACAATTTATATACGTTTTGATCTACAGCACACAATATGAATAAATATGAATCAACAGCGCATAAGATGAATAAATTAAAATCTACAGCGCATAATATGAATGAATTTGGATCTAAAACACATAATTTGAATTTTAAGCGCATTAAAAGAACGAGTTTGGATCTAAAGCGCATAATATGAATAAATTTGAATCTACAGCACATAATATGAATAAATGTCAATCTAAAGCGCATAATCTGAATGAATTTGGATCTAAAACACATAATTTGAATTTTAAGCGCATTATAAGAACGAGTTTGGATCTAAAGCACATAATATGAATAAATTTGAATCTACAGCGCATAATCTGAATGAATTCAGATCTAAAACACATAATTTGAATTTTAAGCGCATTATAAGAACGAGTTTAGATCTAAAGCGCATAATATGAATAAATGTGAATCTAAAGCGCATAATCTGAATGAATTTGGATCTAAAACGCATAATTTGAATTTTAAGTGCATCATAAGAACGAGTTTGGATCTAAAGCACATAATATGAATAAATGTGAATATACAGCGCATAATCTGAATGAATTTGGATCTAAAACACATAATTTGAATTTTAAGCGCATTATAAGAACGAGTTTGGATCTAAAGTACATAATACGAATAAATTTAAATCTACAGCGCATAATCTGAATGAATTTGGATCTAAAACACATAATTTGAATTTTAAGGTCATTATAAGAACGAGTTTGGATCTAAAGCGCACAATATAATATATTTAACGCATAATCTGAACTAATTTGTATCAAAAGCGCATAATCTGAACGAGTTTACATCTAGAGTGAACAATATGAATAAATTTAAATCAACAGAACATATTCTGAATGAGTTTAGATAAAAAGCGTGTTTACAGATCTAAAGTTGCACTATCAATGTAACTTTAGACCTCAAGCCCATTTTCTACGATAATTTGTGTTTAATCCACAAGAATTTGTATCTAAGGCGCATAGTATACATTAACTTGAGTCAAGAGCGCTTAATCTGTTAAAAGGAGAACTTGCACAATACAAATGAATGAAATTAGGTAAAAAGTCGCTTACAACCCTTAAAAACCAATATGACTTCGAACCTCCAAACCTCAATCATCCACCGTCTGCTATTTATATTTGTGTTCAATAATTTCATTAGCATTATAATTAATTAATTTATATATTCTCTCCTTCTTCCTCGAAAAACGTCAAATTTGGATGAACCAAAAATAAAAAAAAATCTTCACACTTTTAAGTGGATGAATAAAAAATTATTCCCTCTAATTTTCAATTCACTCCTCCCGTGTGATCTTAACCGACTTCTCAAAAACTGAAACTTTTATTCGGCTATTAACATTCTTGAATGATTTAATTTTCTCAAATTTCTTTTGTTCTAAAAGAGCGGCATATACCGAAAATTTATATATATACATATTGGAAATACATACATAATGAAACCGCCGGTGATGTGATAGACAGGCATGAGAGAATATCAAAAAATAAGAGATGAGGTAGAGTGGAAGAGTTGCAGTTGAATGAGATTGCTTGAAATGTTAAAGCGCATTTGTTGGATGATTTTAAAGATCTTAGTAGAGTTAATTAAAATTAGATTTTTAAAAATCATAATAAAATTAAGAATATTAAAAATAAAAAAATTATACTAAAATGAAGAAGTTTAAAAAGAAATTATTTTAAAAATTGAAAAAAATTAAAATAATTTTGAATTGTATTAGCTGCTTTTAAGAGTAATTTTGAGGAATCTTAATCAAATTCAGCAGTTTCCAACTCAATTTTCCTATATTACGCATTATAATTCTCAAATTACAGACAAACCGAAGCTAGTTCCTCACCAAATCTCTAATCTCTATTTCTAAATCAAAAAAACAAAAAGAGCGAACCTAAATAGAAGAAGACAACCGAAGACCATAGAAAGAGAAAGACAAGAAGAAGATCTTGATCGATATTGTAACAAATTTGAAGGAATTCTTTTGTGATGATGAGAGAAACATATGAGAAAATAATAGATAAAGATCTCGGGATCGATGATGATGGTTTCTGTTCGACAAAGACTCCTTCTTCAAAATTAATTCAAGAAGAATAAAAAAATTGAATCTCATTTAAACTTATTTATTTTTGTTGCTGCTTCTTTTATTTTTGATTCCTACTCAACCTTTTAAATCACATTTGTGAAGATTCTCATCTTTATTTTTATATAATTTTTTTATTCTTTATTGGCTTTATGAATTCGATTGTGAATTTTATTTTTGTTTGACAAAAAAAAAGTTAAAAAAAAGTTTGGAAATTTTGTAGGAGTTTGAGGTTATT